AAAACTAAACAAAAATTCGAATATCATACAACTAAAATCATGGTTTTTGACAAATAAACTAGACTTTTCGTTAGCTTTATTTGGGTTGTTGAGGTAAAGTGGATAATTTTTTTTAAAATTTTAATGTTACTTTTTTTAAAGATATTATATATATATATATATATATATATATATATACATATCGGGCCGGGCCGAGTCGGTGATCACCGTCCCCGCCCCCGTCCCCGTCCCCGTTAAAATCCCCGAATTCGTCTCCGATCCCCGTCCCGTCCCCGATAAAATGTCCCCGAACCCGGCCCGAAAGTTTCGGTTTTCGGTTTTCACCGTCGGTTTCGGTTTTTTTTGCCATCCCTAAAGCCAACAAAATCAGACTGACCCAAAAAAATTTATTTATAAATAGGCACTAGAAGATTTTCGTATATGAATGTGGTTTCTACTCTGAAAGAGTAGAACGATTGTTTATGTGAAGACCTTCAACTTATAAAAAAAAGTCTGCTCAAACAGGTAAAAAAAACAGTTACTTGATAAATACAATTTCATTTCAAAATTTTCTTTTTTATGTTAATTGTAACTTTCGTTTCGTATATGCTTTGGCTTAACCTAAATAGGTCGAAACAATTTGGTCGGTTAGGTTGGATAAGACAACCCATAACCTATCAGTTAGGTTAGAAAATTTAGAACGAAACTCGGTTTTATTTATGGTTTGTAGAATTAAATCAACCGTTATGGTGGAACCAAATCCATCATTTTGGTTAATATTCTTAAAAATACTAGAAGGGTACTCGTAAATGCAGCTAAATACACATCTATTTTAATATTTAATTTTTTATGTCTCGGATGATGTTATAATAAGTTTTTATGTGATTTGAGAAAATAATTATGTTTTTATTTTTAAATAAATTATAAATATGAATATATCATAAAAAAAATTTAAAAAAAGATATTGATATTAGTACGAAACTAATTATTTAAAATTTCTCTTTTTTTGTGTATTTCTTTAATTTTTTTTGGTTTAATAATATAATTTTTTGTAAAGATAAAAATCAAGTATTTTGTTAGAACTCAATGATTGTCCTAATTATGTCTTAGATTTTTTGTACTTAAATAGATATGTTTATCCTCTATTTGATTATGTTTATTTGCAGTTAATTACATGAATTCAAACATTAAGCTTTAATAAGTTGTACTAATGTATACTTTACTTGTAATCTTGAATTTTAAGTAATATACATTAATAGATAGTACTTCATGCATAAAAAATGGTTTTTAAGAGTTTTTATCAAATGCTTTATGATATAGTATAGATTAGCGATGATGGTTGTTTATTTTGATTTTTGAAGAATATTGGTCCCATACCTTGGGTTATTTTTTGTCGTCTTCTTTTATTAAAAAAAGGGAAAAGTACAATAAAAACCAATGAACTTTATTGTTTGGAATGATTAAGTCCTTGAACTTTTTTTTGGAACAAATAAGTYCTTGAACWTTCCAAAACATGTTAAATAAGTCCTTGAACATTCCAAAATATGTTAAATAAGTCCTTGGACAATTTTTGGAACAAATAAGTCCTTGGACAATTTTTGGAACAAATAAGTC